CTTCCATTCAAATTGCAGTAAAAAAAATATCTTGGAATAAATCTGACCAAAGACACCAAAGAGCTCTACAATCAAAATTTTAAATCATTAAGAAAGAGAAGGAGGAAGACACCAGGACATGGAAGGACCTCCCATGATCATGAATTGGAAGAATTAATATTGCAAAATCAAACATCTTATCAAAAGAAATAAAAAGATTCAATGCAATCCCAATCAAAATTCCCATGACATATGTCACAAAATTAGAAAAAAAAAATCCTTAAATTCATATGGAAGCACAAAAGACTCCAGATAACCAAAGCAATCCTGAGCACAAAGAGCAAAGCTAGTGGGATTACTATACCAGATCTCAAAGTATACTACAGAGATATAGTCATAAAAATAGCATGGTACTGGCACAAAAATAGACACATAGATCAATGGAACATCATTGAAGATCCAACCCCAGTACATACAATTTCAGCCACCTGATTATTTGACAAAGGTGCCAAGAACACACAATGGAGGAAAGACAGCACCTTCAACAAATGGTGCTGGCAAAACTGGATCACCACCTGTAGAAGAATGAAACTAGATCCTTACCTTTCAATAGAGATCCTTATTTTTTGCCGTACACAAAAGTCAACTCCAAATAGATCAAAAACCTCAAAGTGAAACTGGAGACCCTGAAACTATTATAAGAAAATATTGGCAATAATTTACAAGATATATGTGTAGGAAAAGTTTAATTAAATCAGATAGAAGTTGCTCAGGAATTAAGGTCAGCAATGAATAAGTGGGGCCTCATTAAACTAAATGCTTCTGTGCAGCGAAAGAAGCAGACAAAAAAGTGAAAAGAAAACTAACAGAATGCGAAAAAATCTTCATCAATGACACATATGACAGAGGTTTAACATCCAGAATATATAAAGAATTCATAAAACAAAGACTTGAGAAACCAAATGACCCAATTAAAAGGTGGGCTAAAGATCTAAACAGAGAGTTCTCAAAGGAAGAAATAAACATAGCTAAGAAACAGCTCAAAAACTGTTCAACATTGTTAGTAATTAGGGAAACACAAATTAAAACCACCCTAAAATATCAACCTTTCCCCAATCAGACTGGCTAGGATCAAGAGAACAAATGATACCAAATGCTGGCAAGGATGTGGAGAAAGGGGAACGCTCATTCACGGCTGGTGGGATTGCAAATTCGTGCAACCTTTATGGAACGCAGTGTGGAGAACTCTTAAAAAACTAAAAATGAACCTACCACATGACCCAGTTATACCACTCCATGGCATATACCCAAAGGACTCATCCTATTGCAGAGACACTTGAACAACCATGTTTGTTGCTGCTCTTTTCACAATAGCTAAGAGATGGACGCAACCTAGGTGGTCCCCCAACTGATAATGGATAATGAAAATGTGATACATTTACACAATGGAGTTGTACTCGGCACTAAGGAAAAATGAAACAATAAAATTTTCAGGTAAATGATTGGAACTAGAAACTGTTAGGCTTAGTGAAGTAACACAGACTCAGAAAAACAAACGACATATGTTCTCCCTCATATGTGGATCCTAGCACCAAATCTTTTTAAATTCCAGGTACTTTTAATAAGATGATGCTATACAGAAGTCCCTTCTGCATGAAATAACTACCATCATCACGACTTCAGCTGAGCCTGATTGCTAAACATCATCACAATTGGGTTGAACTCATTCATTAAAAGAGGGCCAAGCAGGGACCCTCACCAGAGTAGCCAGCTACTCTTCCCAACTGTATGTAATTTGGCCCTAATCACACATGGCCTCCCGGATTTGGGGATGGTTAAAGTATATAATCTGGGGAAGGCTAGGAAGAGAAGGCATGACCCATGTTGGGTAAAGGCTTTCCAGTGTGCATACCCTCAGGTCATACATACACCTCAGCAACCCCTCAGTTATCTCAGTAAGTAAGCTAAATAAATTCATTGGTTCCCCAGTAAAATTTAAATCAAACATTGGCTTGATACTAGAACCTTAAAAGGGAATAAGTATTGCTTAGCATACTCAGGAAAAGAAGTCTCACAACAGATGAAGCGTTTATTTGTTAATGCTAATATGTTTCATGATTAGTTAATGAGAATGAGAATACAAATGAT